ATGGTTGCGCGGAAAACCATTCGTATTTATTTATTTTGACGGTAGGCTGCCAAATCGCTTATCCCTTTCCAAAACGATATCATTCATACCCTCCTATCGACACATCGGGGTGGTGGGGTGGGAGGGGAAAGAAGATGATTCTAGAATATCACGTAATCATCGCAACCGAAGGTATAAAAGGCACGCGCGACCGACGCGCACCCTCTTCCCGCCACCCTCGTCGTTGGGACCACACCGCCTAGGATAATAGTGTCCTAAAGAGCTCTTCCTGCCGCGCTCGTCGTTGGAACCACACCGCCTAGGATAATAGTGTCCTAAAGAGCTTTTCCCGCCGCGCTCGTCGTTGGAACCACACCGCCTAGAATAATAGTGTCCTAAAGAGCTCTTCCCGCCGCGCTCGTTGTTGGAACCACACCGCTAGTAGAACCGCTTTAGCCTGGCAGCAGTCGAGCTCCAGGAAACCCGCCTCACCACGTGTGAAAAACAGTTCTAGAAGAAGTTCCAGAAGTCGCAGCTATAGTGCCCAACAGCATAGAAGAAACACCCCGGTGAGTGAATATTCCTAATAATATTGCCTGCTTGATATAATTGTGTTTTAACCTGCTCCAATTTTGTTTTCTCCTAATCAAGCAGGATTCCTTTCATCGATTTGACAAATAATAGTTCATTTTAGGGAAGAGCGAGTGCACTGTACCGCGCGCTATAGTCGTCGTTATATAAGCATAGAAGCATTTCGAAGATATAGTCCACTCTGATTAATATCTCGCGTAATAGGTTTAAGGTTCGACCGGGGAATTAGACTTCGGCAACCTTAGGCTCGACGCTCCACCAGTATCCCTCGCAAGACCTTCAAACCTACCTATGTTTGACAAATAAACTATTCTGATTCTGATTCTAATAAAAGACATTGCCAGAATACTCAAATAAAATTATAAAGAATAATGCCTGGGAGGACATAACCAAAAAACTCTCAGAGGACTTGGAAACCCTCAACAATGATGTAAAAAATAGTCGATGTAAGTAAATAATGTACCTTTATTTATTTAAATAATCAAATAGATAGATAGGTATATAGTTATTTATCTTTATTCACCGTTCTGTCTATTGATAATTTGGTATTGCCATGGAATAGAACCTTGTGGCGATGTGAAATATTAAGTAAAATCACGTATTTGTAGACCCGTGTGGTTACCTATCGGTTATAGGTAACGGTAACCTGTCGGTTGTAGAACTTGTATTATAGTGTCAAATAAATTATCATCAAATTGGAATCCATCTTTAGTTCTTACAAGATTGTGTAGAACGCAAGATGCTTTAACTACTAATATAGTGCGATCAGGCTGAAGATTTATAGCTCGTGTTAAAATCCTCCACTTGTTTAATAGAATACCAAAACTGCATTCAATCATTCTTCGTGCTCGTGTTAATCGATAATTATAAACACGTTGTTGCACGGTCAAGTTGCGGCTCGGATATGGTCGTAAAACATGTTCAGATAGGGCAAAAGCCTCGTCGCCAATAAAAACAAATGGCATATGTTTCCCACTCGGATCACTCGGTAGCGTTTTCGGTTCTGGTAAATCGATTTGGCCCGATTCTAACTGCCTGCTGAATGCTGTATTTTTAAATACGTTTGAGTCAGAAGAACCGCCGTATGCTCCTACTTCAATGCAAGTGCAACAATAGTTTGCATCACAAATTGCCATTAAAAATACAGAAAAATAATTTTTATAATTATAGTTCATTTTACCGCTCTGATCGGGCTGTGTTATTTCAATGTGTTTACCATCGACAGCACCTATCACATTGAGAAAATTAGTGCAGTGATAAAAGTCTTCTCATATGTTTTCAAAGACTCCAAAAAAGAAAACGACATCATCCTTTAAAAGTGAAATTTTGAAGGCCATCAAAAATGAGTCTGGATTGGTCGAGGATAAAACATTCTGTTTATCATTGGTTCAATTACTAAAAAAGATGCATGATGATAGCAAAATGTTAGCTAAAATAGAAATATTAAAAGTACTTCGCACTTTCACAAACAGGACGCAAAATACATACAGCCAGCCAGTCAGACAGCCTAACCAATCACCGTTTAACAGAACAAACATTGAACCATACTTCATCACCAAAGTTCTAACTTTTCACCTCAACCAACACCCATAACTCGTACTAACTCACAACCAACATCAGCTCAAACTCGTAATGTGTATCAGCAGCACTCACAGTCGGAAACCCCGTTCATTTATACTCAGACCCCACAGCAACAGTACTCACAGACAATGTTCACTCAAGCCAGTAATATATATCAGCAGCAGCATTTAGAGTCACAACCAACTCTGTCCTTCCATCAACCCTCATCCGATCCCGTAAATCCATCAAAAGTTATTAAGATTTTAGAGAATCATCAATACCGCCCCGCTAATTTTGCACAAAGTTCTAGGCCACAATCTGCACAGAGCTTTTTTACGACTTTTAAAGTCCCCAAATATTTTCCCACTCATCACATCTCCATCGGACACTGACCTGTCAAGCTCAAGAACTGCTCAAAGCCCATTTATTAATAATATAAATTCACCAGAAGATTTGTACTTGTCTCCAAATGATAGTTCAAATTAATAAATATGTCTTTTATTACTTAAATAAAAATTGCATTGTAATTTTGTTATTTTTGTTTTACTTACCTCAGTGTAACAGCCAGTCGTTGTACAGGTGGTATCGCCAAACGCATGTTGGTATCTTGAAGTGTTATTTGAGGCCTCACTATTTCTAATAATTCGTCAAATGTTGTTATAGGCATTCGAAAATAATTGAAAAATTTTGCTATGAAAATCTTCTCGTGCCTCAACTCTTCGTATATTGTCACAAACTGTCCTTTTAAGTATCTCTGTTCATTCAGAGGATGTACCCAGAATGCCTTTTGCTTTTTTTTTTCGCCTTCTAGCAGCACAAATTGCTATTGATAGTAATTTAGTAGAAACCATTATCACATCTTATGAAGCGAAAGCACAAGAGTGATTTTAAAACGTTCGTATGAACAATCACATCGTAAACGTTTTAAAAGCGCCAACGCCGAGTTTTGACGCAACGGTTTTTTAGCTCTCGTGCGATCTGAAGCTAAAGAAACGAATTCCCACATTATTTTGAAGAAACGATAGGCTTGGGATTGCGTGTGTAACGAGTTTAACGCTGTTGCTGTAAGCAGTGTTAGAACGTGGCAACAATTACGACATTTGTATGAAAATCTTAAACAACGATCTAAAAAGAATGTTGCCAAAGAAAATGTAATCTTTTATTTACCTTGGAGATCATAAATATTAAGAAGTCATGATTTATAATAGTCGTAGCTATTATTTAATAATCCTTTTGATCTTAGAGACTACAGTACAATGAAAAAACAAAAGAGACACAACAAAGGCAAAGGGAAAATAATTGATTAGGTAATTATTAACCAATTTAGTTTTTTATATAGAAAAAATAACTTCTACTGGTGGAGGGTCTTATAAATCTATTCTGACTTAGCAAGATGCTCTGATTTTAGCAATGTGCAACCACTGCAAAATCCGTTTGATGATGCTGCATTTTATTTTTGTTAGTTTGTTTAATCTCTACAATTTAGATCTTTAATAAGAAATAAGATTAATTATTATTTATTTATCAGGTGACACAGAATTGATTTCTGAGAACATACAAACAGTTAGAGTGAATGATGTAAACAAGGATGACTAATAGCGGTAAAGATTATATTTAAAGATTATATTATTATATATTTTTTTAGATAGGTGTATATCTGATTTTCATAGCAATTTTTATTTTTAGATAACCATCAAAGACTTTTGGCAAATAATTTTATGGAACAGAATAGCGATAAACCTCATACAATTACATCTAATACAAAAGGTATACCGGTATGCTCTGAAGGCAACGTAATTTGACTTTCGACTTTCGATGTTGGCACCCGATCTAAAATGGTTGGGAAAAGCAAATTTTTTTTCTAATTTACAAATTTTGCTATATTTTCACTTTGCAATGAAATTCATAAATTACCTTTTATAGCATAGTAGTAGTAGATACTTCACTTTTAGTCACAAAATTAGTACTAATTTGAAATCCACGCGTTTGTTTTTGGAGAAATCTATATAAAAATGTTTTGAAATGTGTATTTTTATGTTTTATGTGTTTCTATTCGTTACACATACCAAAATATGAATTTTTTTTTTTAAAAAAACGAAATTAATTTTTATCTGTGCGAAATTTCTAAGAATATTTCAAATATATTTTTGTGTGAATTTGAAATAAATACAACGTCAAGTTATTTGAAATATGTTATAAAACTATTTTTAGTTACATTTTACACTAAAAATAAATGAAAATTGGTAAAATAACTCATTTTTGACCCAACCGCTAAAATGGGCCTTCTCGATATCACTTACTTTTCACTTATATGCCACAAATTATATATCTACTTTCTCTATTACAAGGAATACACAAAAGTATAAAACTCACCTTTTTATTTCAAAACACACACAGAAAAACGGAAAAATCACTCAGCAGTAGCTCACGCACAACCACGCCCACTGGTGTAAAGACCCGTTACGTCAGAATGAGTTTTTATTGTTTATTTCTTATGTAACATTAACAGATTATGGTACCAAATTAAAGAGTATGTCTTTGTCTATGTCTGTAATATATATTTCAGTATAACTTTGTTATAATTTTTAATGATAAACATTTTTTGTCCGGTTCGCCCTCATAAATTCTTAGGCTGGATTTAGTGCTATGCGGACGGTCCGTACGGACGACCGTCATCCGGAGCTATCGTATAGAACTCAATTACTGTGTTTAGTTGAACACGGCCCGCGGAGCGTCCATCCATCCGGAGGAAAATAATCCGTCGAGTGCGTCCGTGCTCCGGACGTCCGCATCAGGACGCGCTAGGTATCTTATACGAAAGCGTTTAGTGCCGTGCGGACGCAGACAGATTGGGACTGACAACAACGACAATGTCTGCGGAGAATCTAGACACGGAACGTATCATAACAGAAGTCCGAGGTCAACTATCATTATGGGATCTTAGCGATATTTTGTATAAAGATCGTGATGCGAAACTACAAGCGTGGACAGAAGTATGCCGAGCATTGTTTTCTGGTTATGATGATTTACCGGATAAGGAGAAACAGGAAATTGGTAAGTACTTTACAATAGTATAATAGGTAGGTACAATCCGCGAGGCCTGCTTGCATTTGCGTGAGTGCACATACCTACATAGTGTAGGTGTGATGTCGCCCTAGAGTGCGACACGTCCTTTGCTTGGTTTGAACCGGTTTATACTGGTTTTTGCGATCGGCCCGAGGCGCACTCACACAAACGCGAAGCTCAGAGACCTCGCGGACTGTACATAGATATCACTGAGTAAAACACGCTCATTATTTATATCATTTAACTACTTTATTGAAAATTTTCGTATAGGTAATAAATTAAAATATTGAATTATTTTGGCAAGGCACTGCACCTGCGGTAGATACAAAATAACTGGCGAATCTTTCTCTCAATGCATCGCCCGATCTGACAATTATGTTATCATGGATGTTAAAATCTTGTAATCCTTCAATAATAAATGTATCCTCTTGTCTATAGCCATCTCGTTCTCTAATATAGTTGTGTAAAATACAAGTTTTTACGAGTGTAACCGTGTTCGGCAGAGACGTATTTAGTAGTCTATGAAATATTTTGAATTTATTTGTCATTATTCCGAACGTAAATTCAATATACCTTCTTGCATGACTTAACCTATATTTAAAGATTTTTTTTGTGAGTCATATTACTTCGTGCGTAAGGTTTTACAATTTTGTTCGATATACCGAATGCACCATCACCAATTATCACGTGCTGCAAAGGTATTGTATTCGACAATGGTTTAGCAGGAGGTAAATTTAATGTCCCGTTTTGCAATTTATTACACAAAGTACTTTCTTTAAAAATTGTTGAATCCGAGTCTGTTCCACAAGAACCTATATTTACATATGTAAAACGATAGTCTGCATCGCACATTGCCAATAGAACGACAGAGTATTGTTATTTGTAATCGGCAAATAAACTGCCACTGTTCTCGGGGCAAGTAATTCTCACATGTTTCTCATCAATTGCTCAAACGCAATTAGGAAAATTAGCGTTCTGTTGAAATCCTGATGAGATTTTTAGCCATTCTTCCTGTGAACTAGGTATCGAAAAACATTCTTGAAGCACTTGGCAAATGTTTGTGCATACTTCTTTGACGATGAGAGAGATTGTTGCAGTGCCCATCTGATAACTGAAGTAAAGATCTGAGTATGTTTGTCCAGTCTCAAGATACCTGAAAGGAATAACAACAAAATTAATTATTTGTTAAATGTTTCAGTAAAACAAGTACAACTACGGTGGAGAACTGCGCGTGACGCATATATGAAATGTAAAAATGCATTAAAAATGTGAAGTTTGGATCAGGTGGTGGGAAGAAATCCAAATACGTGTATTTTGAACACATGCAGTTTCTGGACAAAAAAACATATTGTTGATACTATTGAATCTATCAATGAATGTCAAAATACGAATGAAACATGCAGCATTCTACCAGCTAGCCACTCTACGCACAATCAATCTCAGTTGCCTTCAACAAGTCGAGATGCTGGTAATTCTTCAGGAATTACGCTTACCCCACCCACTATCTCTGCACCAAACCAAACTACATTTCAGAAAAACTCAAAAAAAAACGTAAAAACCGCGAGTATTCTGCTTTTGAAAAAGAAATGTTGATTTTTTTTAAACAAAACAGTGAGATGATGAAAAACGACGATATGGCATTCTTCTCTTCCCTATTACCTATTACAAAATCATTCAACATTCGCCAAAAACTATTATTTCGGTCAAAAATACTTCGCAAAGCTATGGAAATTTCAAATAGCACTGCAGGTTTTCCCTTAATGTGTGATCATAATTATTTTTCAACTCGCCCTGTATCTATCTCTCGCCCAGGATCTTCCACATCTACCTGTACATCATACACGATCACATCACCAGGCTCTCAAGAAGATGTAACGTTGTACACAGTTGAAGAAACTGAAGCTCCAAATGCAAATGTAGCCTCTCAAATGCAGCTGTCTGAGCAGCAGTATTCATCGCAAGCATTGGGTAATTTTCCGCAAGAACCTATCGCTTCTCAAATGCAACTATCTGAACAGCAGTATTCATCGCAAGCAGTAATTAATATGTCTGATTTTATTAAATTTAAGTGATTTTTCAGTAAGCACCTACCACCAATATAAGTAAAATAAGTAAAAGAAACAAATTAAATATTAAATTGAGTTTCTGGAGTATTCCGTTTACACCCTGTATTTAATTAAGAACAATAAAGGGCGCACTTACCTTAATGTTACGGCCAATCTTTCAGTTGGAGATACTGGAACTCTAAACATATTATTATGTTTGATATAATCTTGAATTTTTACTAGGAGTTCATCAAAGCTGTTAATTGACATTCCAAAATAATCGAATAATTTTCAAAATTTCGTAATTTCGAATAAAATTTATGAAATTCTCTATCTAGTAATCGATCTGCAATTATAGGGTGAACATGATAACTTCTCCTATTCTTCTTTTTATGTAACTGCCTAAGGTAGTAGGCAGCAAATACGGTGTTTAAAAACGGACACATTTTCTGCGCGACGTTACTTGTCCGAGCCATACGTTGCTCCGTAGAGCACTAAACGGTCGACCGACCGAATGCTCCGTATACGGACATTCTGTACGGTCGTCCGTACGGATGGTCCGTACGGTCGTCCGTACGGTCGTCCGTACGGACCGTCCGCATAGCACTAAATCCAGCCTTAGTAGGCGTATGTGTACCGTTGTCGATCGGACGGCGCGCGGTTGTATTAGTCACATATGTATCCTTATCGAGCGTACGGGTTATTCATTTTACTTTTCAACAATGGTACACTATGGAATAAGTTATTAATATAATGTGACATGAGTGAGGTTGAGTAACATATTGATAAAAAATCATATTTTTGGGAAATAATAAAATAAATTATAAATATCCGTTTATGAATTTTTTAACATTATTTGTTTTTTATTAACAAATGTTATTAATAAAGGTATTAAATTAACCTTAGATAAACATTTTTCAGAACACCAAAACATTGTAATAAAACGGAAATTATACGAAACCACTAAACAACAATATTTTAAAACAAAATTAACGAATTCCAAATTAGAAAATAAATATTTAATAAATAAAAACCAAATGGAGCTCAACAAATATAAATTAGAAATGCAAATTTTAAAATTAAAATTAAAGAGATTACAAGCTTCCAACACAGAAAAATAATTAGTTTATGTATTTTATGAATATTTTATTTTATTACTGTTGCATTTAGATTTAAGAATTGGACGTATATAATTTATAAAGAAAAGTTTATAATTTAAGATTTATTTGTGTGTAATGGGTGATTTATGGATCTTGACAACGTTGCCACCTAGCAAATCCAATTGTGAATTCAAACCACCCAGAGACTCATTTTGGAGGAGTTTAGTGATAAACATACATACAAAAGAATTATATTTATAAAGATTATGTAGTGTTAAATAACCCCTGAGAGTCACTGATCACTTCCATGCTATTTCTAAATGTTTTTATTATTATATTGTACAAAACACACTCATCTATTTATAGACTGTTATTATTAGCGATCATTTATCAGTGACTTGTTTGCCAAGCATCGTGATATGACAGACAAGACAAATCCTCATGAAGGAGGAATAAAAAAGTTCAGCAGTGGACATTAAAAAGCTTTTTAATTACTGTTACCTACGAATCATATACAAATTAATAAGTTACCATATTTTCATGAATCTACACTGTGATACAGCAAACTTTTGACTGATTATTGTTTTTGTATTTGTTATTTTGTAAAAGATTGGTATTAAAATAAAGTGAAAAATTTACTAGAAAAATATTTAATAATTTAAGAAATCATTATGTGAACCAGTACCGACTAATAGCAGATAAAATTCGCCGATTAGATCTTAAAACCAAATGCGCTAGATATATAACATCTTTAAATTCCTTGAAAAGATGCAGAGATCATAATCTCATTCCTGCGTATGTCAAAATATCATCAAAAAAGGCCATTCGAGGAAGCGCTAAGATCTTAAACCAGGCAAGTAAAAAGTTGTTACGAACGGTGATTCCGCAGAAACGGTTCGATTTACATTTCATAAATAATACCATAGACAAGTTGTCCAGTGAACTAAAGACAGTTTTAACGACATTTGATTTTAATAATTGCATCGAAACTTTAAACAAACGAGAAACATCGAAATACAATGAATGCAAAAGTAAACAAATAGAAAAATACCAAAAATTTACGATCAAATCAAATGCCAAACATCCAAGTCAACGCCAGAACGATACACAACCGTTGATCACAGACACAAACAATAAACAATATACGGTCTATAATCTGTCAAAACATTCACTGGACGAACCGATCATGAAAGTACTAGCGAACGGAAGGAACTTCGCATTAACACCGCGAAAAATCTCGTGCGAAGAAATTATCTGCAGTGTCGAGGATTATCTGTTTAAGAATAATATCAGTAAGGAAGATTTGGAGGCCATACGTCAAGATATTTCGTCCTTGTTATAACGTAGTTCAGTGCCGAAACCAAACCTTCCTAAGAACGAATTTACAGCGCCAAATAACTTACAGAACAGACTAGAACTCACAATTCTCCGCGCGGATAAAGGAAATGCTACGATAATAATGGACACGTCAGAGGATAATTTTAAAATACAACAACTTTTGTCGGACGAAAGTACATATAAAAAGTATAAACAGACACCTAACCCCACACCTAACACGCTTAAAGCAACTAGCGATTTTAATAAATACTCCGAAAAATTAAATCTCGTCGTGGATTCGCTAATACCATCATGTACCAAACCACCGAGCAGGGGGGTGATGTGGCGGCACTGTCGCCACACGTGAAACACACCGAAGCTTAAATCGCGCTACAAAGTTTCGGATCATAAACAGTATATATAGGACAGCTCCGAACTATCCATACGGAGTGTTGGCCGCTCCCCGGGCAGAACACCTTGCCCGGCGGGAGATCTCCCCTTTTCATTCCACGGTCACAGTGGTGACCACCCGACGTGATCTGAACACGCAACCATTACCTTCGGAAATTACAACTTCAAGCCTTCGTCATTATTTTTTCTTTGAGACAGTTTCTGTTGTAAACTGTAGTAGCTCTCGATTAATGGCCATTACAGCCACGACGTGGGGTCGCAATATTATATTTTCTGTTTATATGCCTAAGGACTGTGCGGACAATCTACCAATTTTTACAGATATATTGAGAGAGATCAATGCTATCATAGCGAGTAGGGATATAGAAAATGTTTTTATGCTTGGGGATTTTAATGCGCACCCTCATTAACTATTTTTTAATGAACTGGATAACTTTTGTTCTGATCAGTCGTGGGTTTGTGCGGAAAGCGGAAGCTAGTCCACATTTGTACACAAGAAAATTTAGTGGCCTGCAGGGCAAGAAATTTTTTGAAAAGGGCTGGAGGGAAGTTGCCGTCGAGCTCAACCAGCTTCCCAACGGATCCGTCAAGACGCCTGAGCAGTGGATAACAGTTAAGTTTCTACTAAAGAATTTTTCTGATTTACTACTAATGGCTTATACATAAATCGGCCAGCACATTATGCAGCGCCAGTGTACCTAATATTTACTTAAAATGCATAATTATTTATTTTTTAGGTATGGAGAGACTTCAAATGCCGGGCCTGCACTAAAGCGGCAAAATAAAGACGAGAAAGAATGCGGACCGGCAACCAAGGCATCACCACTGCTCCACTGACTGAGGTGGAAAAAAAATTGTGTCGCTGATAGGTGTTGAATACACATTTGGCAGCGACTGCCCTGACTCTATGCCAGAGGAAGAAGTGAGTTCAGTAGTGTGTAGTATATACTATTAATAATCACTTATATACAATTTCATATACTTAATCAAACTTCATAAACATAGTTTTTGGTTTTAATGCAATTTAAAATAATAAATAGTTTTACTAATTTTTATAGACATTACAACATGAGGTGGAGGCTGGGGTAGAAATGGTAGAAGTCGTTTGTTTGTCTCAAGGTAAGTTTTTAAGATATATTAAAAATATTATGTAAATTCTGTTGCAATTTAAATGTATTTACCTACAATGTATTAAAACACAAATTTTAATTACAGGTAATGAATGCCAGTTGCTTGAGACTGAGAGAAACAAAGCATCGCCAGCACCACAAATTAGTAAGTTTGTTATTTTTATTACACCTACATTCATACCTCTCTACATGGTAATATTTCACTAATATGTTTAATGTATTTGATTATTTCAGTAGCAAGTGGCAGCAGAGCCACAACTGTTGCTTCACCAGCACCCAATCAGCAACAGGTGCAAGAAATAACTCTGCAGTCAGCAGCACCACAAATAAGTACCTAAGTTAGATCTTTGTTATTTACTATAATGTCTTATTTACATAAGACATTATACATTTGTGCTCCGCTGTTTTATCCACTATTTACAAAATGATATAAAATGGTCTATGTGCCAAATTTTATATAGGTCTTCTGCTGTTTTAGTGTGATTAATAAACAAACAAAAATCTTTGCAAATATTCACCTTTATACTATTAAATTAAAATTGTGATCATTTTATGTGTATTATTTCATTACTTCAGCAGAGAGAGGCAGCAGTGCAGCAGCTGTCATTACAACACCACCCACTGTACGACAGGAGAGCCCCAGAAGGATAAGGAGTAAGCTTGAATTTCAATTAAGTGCTAATAATATAAACATTAGTTCACAAGATGATCAGCTTGAGCAGAATAAAGCCAAAAATTATTTTAATTACAATACAATAAATTTTGGGTATTTTTAGATCTGAATCCTCGCCGATCTACTGCCGAGCAAGCGAATATAGCTCGGGAGGATTTCCTGGCAGTTGCAAAATCTAATGCAGATTCAATGAGGGTATGTTATAACATCACATCTACATTCTGAACTAAACAGAAGAAAAAATCAATATATTTTTACGTGGTAGAGCCATTGCTGCAGTTATGTTAGTAGTATAGTCGTAGCAAGGGGCCGGCTCGACTGGGGAAGCACCACGCCTATAACCACGATAAGTGGAGTGAACCGGAGACCCTAACCTAAACCCTTGACTGGTAATGAGGCATTCCATTTTAGTCCTCGAGGTTGACAATGCATCTGCATTTAGATTCTTAGTGGGGGGTGGGGGGGAGATGTAGACATAGACATGCGTCAAGTCAAAACATCAGATGCTCGTGTGGCTTATTTTGTTAAAAAAAATGTAAAATATTGTTGATCTGTCAATAGATATTATATGCTACAGCATACATTATCCTAAAGATTCACTAGCATGCTAGAGAGAATTAGCAAGCATTTCTCGATCTATCTATAGTTTTCATTACAGATGCTGGCAGAGGCTGCCAACATTCAGGCCGAGGCTGCCAGAATGCAGGCGGAGGCAGCAAAAGTTCAGGCCGAGGCATTTCATTTATTAGCTCAGGCTGTTGATAAAATTGTAGATTTGCTTGTTATTAAAAATAATAAATAAATTAATATGTTTAATGTTTTATTTCAATTCACTTAATAGAATAGAATCATTTTTATGCAATATAGATTTTTTAGTAATTTTTTACGTTTACCACTGGTTCGAAGAATACCTCTGTCCAGGGAAGAACCAGCAAGAAACCCAGCGGGACTTTTTTTTAATAAATTCAATTTACAATATATTACTTTATACAAATAATATGAAACATTTACTATACACATCATTACTAAAATTACGTTATTACTAATATAACAGAAAACTATAGATAATTAAGTGTAAGCAGTATTTATGAGTCTTCTTTGTATACGCTCTGCAACAGCTCGACCAGTGCCAGTTACTCGTTCTGTAATTACAACCTAAAAAATTTTAAAATTATTCTAATATTACAAAAGCAACATAGTCTAATTTAATATTACCTAAACAACATTATTACTAGGGAATGCAATCTCGTTCGTCGATCCCGATCTCGCGAGATCTCGTCCATATTTTGCGAGACTGAGTCTCGTTCAATTTTTGTACGAGATCTCGCGAGATTGCGAGATTGAGTATTTCCTTTCAAGAGGAGCTACAAGAATCGTTGACATTGACAGCATTGAAAAAGCCCAATCGTTCAACAAATTCTGCAAATTCATTGGGGATACTCATTAAAAAAAGAGATGAATTTGTATGAAGCTGAAGGTGAACTCCTTCAGTTTGTACACAACTGTTTGTCGACTGTGGTTCCGACTAGTGTAGAGGCAGAAAGAGCATTTTCGGCCGCGGGGTACTTGGCCTGTAAAATCAGGAGTCGTCTATCAAATGAAATCCTTGATATGCTGTGTTTTTTGAGAAGCCACTTTCAAAAATAACTTATCCTTTTTATAACACTGTCTAATAATACTTACATATCCTTAAAAATTGCAGAAGGCTGAATAAGTGTTACATTTCGAATTATTTCAAAGTGTTTTTTTGTTTTACTTCTCTTTTTTTATATATTGAAGTTTTATTTTTATTTTTATATTAAGTATTTTGTTCTTAATACTGCAGAAGGCTGATTTTTGTTATATTTCGAAGTGTTTTTTTTTTGTTTTATTTTGAGTTTCTTGTTCCTAACACTGCAGAAGGCCGATCTTTGTTATGTTTCGAAGTGTTTTTTTTGTTTTATTTTAAGTTTTTTGTTCTTAATACTGCAGATGCAGAAGGCTGATTTTCAGTTTATATAATAAGAATAAGACTGACGAATATTATAACGTAATATTGTGTTTTATTTTAAAATAAATGATTATAATATGCCAATTACATGTATGTTTTATTTTTATCTTATATATTGAAAATCAATAAACGGAAATAATAGTATTAGCGAATGTTTTTAGTAAAAAAAAATACCCAATTGAGCGAGATCTCGGAAATCTCTTAATCTCGCGAGACTGGCTTTACGGTCTCGCGAGATCTCGGCTAGGTCTAAAATCTCGCGAGATTGCATTTCCTAATTATTACCTATATCTTCCAAGTAATCATCGTTATAGCTATCAACAATGATTTCTGTGTATGTGGTGACATATGGTTCCATCAATCTATATTTAACACGCATGTTGTGTAGCACTGCACATGCATTAACTATAAGGCCAGCAGTATATGGCTCATACATTAACTGGCGTTGATGAGACAGACACCTAAGAACAGACTTTAGCACACCAAAGCATCTTTCTATGGTGTTTCTGGCTGAACCATGAGCGTCAGTGTATCTACGCTCCGGTGTCCCAAGGTGTTGATTTTTTATTGGGGTCATCAACCATGGCTCCAGAGGATATCCATCATCACCTAAAAATTTTAACATCGAATATACATTTGGCAGTCTTACAAACATTCGGTTCTAGTAACCTTGGTCTTTAACTTACCAAGTAACCATGTACGGCGATCCCCATTGTCAAAATGTCGCTTCATGGTGGAGTGTACAGCTGAATTTGCCCATATGTGAGCGTCGTGTCTAGCTCCTGGCCATTTAGCATTGATGTTCAAAATTAACAGGTCTGGGTCACACACCTAAAATAATTTAAAATAAACTTAGTTAGCAGTGTACTTTTTTGTGCTAATAAAAAATAGATTTATTTATTATTGATGATGTTCTGGAGTGTAACTAGGTGCAATAAAAATATAATCTAAGCCCTTAAGACTAATGAGTATAATTTAAACTTTTTCACTTAAACTGCTCAGTGAAATGTATCCAATAACACTTTTTACTATCAATAATAAGGAGAAGATACTTCATGTTTTTAAGCAATTTATGCAGGCTGGAAATAGCCTTAATACCTGTTGATCCCACATTGTTTTGACTAAGCTTTTGATATTAGATTACTCATGAACATGATAATTGAAGGGCTAAGTGGACATAGGCGGTAAAAATATGGTAAAGAAAAACCTAAGGACAAGCATATAATGCATAGCAACATTCAATTACAAGTGCTATGAAAAGTTTTGTGGTTTTGACCTCTTTTCTCAATACTATAGCTTAAAAGTAACACTGAAAAAAAAATGTATCTCCCGAAATTCATCAGATCTGAAAATATCAGAAGAGCACTAACAAACCAAAAAAGGAAAAGAAGCACAACTTATATCCGTGTTCTACCTAATGATGGTACCAACATAAAAGTTTGTAAGACTGTATTTTCCAATATGTTTCAATTGCTTATAGAAAAGTAACAGCCATTTAATCAAAAATTAAATTAAATGACGTGACAGCGCTCAAAGTACAATGGGGTAAAACTCATACTTATAAAAACAAATTTATGTAGAAAATTACATATGTAATCATATTGGAAGTTTTCCATCTGAAAGTTCTCATTATTTTTGTACTCAAAATATCTACAAACAGTATTAAAATCCATTACTTTCTTGTAAAAAAGATGTATTCAATGCATATTTAAAAATGTAGGGGAAAAAAGAAAACTACCAAATCAATCTCATCAAGGATTGCGCTTATAGCAATATATTCAATACAAATTTTCAAAATATCATTTAAACAGCCTAGAACAGTGTGTGTAACAAATGTGATTCAAATACACACACTGAAGACCATATTGATGACTATAAAAGAGCATTTGAGTTACAAAAACAAGAAAAAGAGGTGGGTGTTAGTGAACAAGATATAACATATATTTTGACATGCAACAGACTCAGCCTCTACCTGAAAACCCCATATCAAAGCATTTTATTTGAGGAAAGTATGGTTTTATAATGAAGGTATCCATATCATTAATAGAGTTGGGCATAGGTCTTATTTTGGCACTGGAAAGAAGACTGGTGGAAAGGTCTCAGTCTCAGTCTCAGTGGTTTTACATTATTATTCTAAAAATCTCAATAATTAATAAATAGCCTTGTAAAAATCATAATTTTTTTAATAATAAAACTATTTCATATAAATAATGGTAAGTATTTAATTTTTTTACCACATAGAACCGTTATAAGTTCTTCTTAACAAAACTTAATATGGTTTATAGTAAACAAATTGCTCACATTTTCATTGCTTTTAATAAATTTGCATAGAATAACCTATTTTTAATATAATATATATAATAATTAATCTTATCTAAGTATTGGTACTAATACTGTATTGTAAAACTAAGATTTAATTACTAATTTACTTTTGGAACTATTTGTTAGTTAACATCTTTGTCCACTTATCCCTTCAATTGCAAGTAGCCACAATTTTACAATAACATGTTGACCATGAATTATGAATTTTGATATTGGATTACTGAAAACATGTTACAGAAGACGCTGACTCCACTGTATAATTGTTATTGCTGGTCAAACCAAGGTGTCATCCTCATACTTTCACTCAACAGACTTATTTTGGCCATCTTATAAAAGCCCTTGCTTTTAGTACAAGTATTGATAAATAATTTATTATAATTCTCATCATAGTAATGTAATCACTTAGTTAAGGATGTCAGTATTGCACTGAAATAGTTTTAATACATTATTGTAATGTAATAATGTAATAGTAATAAATGTCATCGACCCATATTTAGTTATTTTAAAATGCTTCAGCACCGCTCCCAAAATCTTAATTAGCAAGTAAATAGGTAAACAATAATTACTGAAGATAAACTTACAACTTGTACATTTAATGAATGGCCCTCATGGTGACCACTCACATATACCTCTTCATAAATTTTTGGAGCTAGAATTTTTATGTGTGTGCAGTCTATAGCTCCTATCGCATCAGGAAATGGTTGTGGGGCATTCCTAAATTTTTCTTTAGCTGCTCGCCGCTCATCATGGGTCATAGGGAATTTTATATATCTTCTCAATAATTTTTCATTAATAGCCTCGGTTACAGCATGTATAACTCGGCTAACCGATTTTTGGCTCATGCTGCAACCCCACTGCAGGCCAACAGGTAGCTGATAGCACCCACTTGCATAAAATCGAAGTGCCGTCAGTATCTATTTAGAAGAAAATGAAACTAAGAGTTAATACAAACGAAAAAGAGTAAGTGTTTAGGGGTATATAGGCAATTACATGATGACACTCACTTGGGACTCCACAGAAAGTCCGTAAGGCCGTTGTTTTTGAAGAGATGACCGAAGTTCACCTACGAGCTCGCTAAACGTATTTTTTGTAATTCTATAAAGGTACAAGAATTCACTATCGTCTAAATCTAAGGGATTTTCACTTTCACGCCGGTTTCGTGCGATTTGCCGCCGCATAACCATAACACGCCTGTGTTCTAGTTCTGACAAATCCCATGCTAAATACGATTCCGCCATAATTACTTAATACTTTTATTATAACCTTATATTATAATAGATAAAGATTATTTATAAAACTGTAGAACAACTTATGATCGTAACGTAAAACACTTAGCGGGCTGTCAAAAATGGTAGTTAAAATAATAGCAAACATAACAAATAATTGTAAAGTTTACGATCTGTACCGATCGCTTTGACAGTACAGACTACAAAAATCGTCATATTCGGATTGTTATGACTTAACAACAAATATTGGTTGTAAAGTGATCG